AGCGGTGGCTGTTGGCACACATTTAAGCTCCTCCCTGTTTTAATGAATCCACACCTCACCCTGACTCTCTGTCCCATATTAACCTACAGCAGCTGGCATGCGGGCCTATGACATGAGTCGTTACCGGCAATCTGCAGAGCCCCCCCAGCAGCCCCCCTCTTCCCAGGGTGAAGGCTACTCCCAGGTTCCCAAGACTCACCGGTTCATGACCTTGGCAGACCACATTTCGGTAGGAAACACATAAGAATAAACAAAAATAAAATAATGCTGAAAATGTAGATTTAAACTGTTTTATCGTCACTCCCTGTCATGCAGCATATCATCACCCAGGACTTCGCTAGGAATCAGGACCCTCCTCCCGTCTCCTCCTCAGCTTCGGCAACATTCCAGAGCTCAATGCCATCCGTGTCCTCCTCAGGCCGGGCCAAGGGGCACAGCCGCTACAGTCCTGAGAATCAGGGCCAGGCCTCTCACCACCAGAGATCCACCAGCAGAGTTTCCCCAGAGAACGCCCCTGACAAGACCAGAGCGAGGTACACAGACCATCGAGTTAACTATAACACAATCACAGCGAGTCTGATTTATTCCTCATCATCAGGCTAATGTTTGTCCCTCTCTGCTCCCTATCTAGGCCCGGTAAATCTCCAGAGCGAAGCGGCAGGCAGATGGAGAACTATGAACCCATTTCTCCACCACAGAGCTACCAGGTTATGGAGAAACAGGAAGCGGCCGGGCATCCACCCCAGAGACGAGAGGCTGAAAACTCTGAGATCAGGTACGGGATATCAAGGGGTTTTTACATTATAGTTTGAAGTTGTTGTGCATCTCAATAGCTGAAGCTGATAAAGAATCTGTTTTAAAATGTTATTAACATTTTAAGAATTTAGTAACCGACCCGAAGTTGTTTAAATGTTTGTATTGAGAAGCATCATTTTCAAAGCTGAACAAGACTTTGTACTGCCACGCTTCCTTTCAAATAATAATACACTTTTCCTCAATAAAAATAAAATAACAAATAATAAAGACAGAACATTTAATTAATTATTATTATTATTATTATTATTATTATTATATAAATAATGTAATTAAAAGAAAATAGTAATTATCCAAATGAGGACAATTGTAACTGACACAAATAAAATGGAAATATCATTAGAATTTGATTAAAATAAAATGTAGACGAGTGTGCAACTTACATGCTTTGAGATGTAAATGTAATGTCAGCTACTATACTTGTAGAAGATCAAATAACCAGCGTTTTTGCACCTGATCAACACATTGCTGGAGTTAGTTTTCTTTTAGGGCCCTGACATTTGATGCCTGGCTGTATTAGACTGTAAATCAAATTGTTTGTTGGATGACAGCAGGCAGCACCTTCCCCCTGTCAGCATTCATTCGACATCCCGGCCGAGTTGAAAGGGCTTTGTCCCAAGAGCGTTTCACCTCAGTTACCCCTCCCCGCCATTTGACTCTTTGTCCTTTGCTCGTTTTAAGGAATGACTCGCGCTCTCCGGGAAGTGTAAGCTATCTGCCTTCCTTCTTCACCAAGCTTGAAAACACCTCGCCTATGGTGAAATCCAAGAAGCAGGAGATCTTTCGTAAGTTGAACTCCAACTCTGGTGTCGGTGATTCTGATGTTGGTAAGTGGGTGTCTTCTTATCCTGTCTCTTCAAACTAGGGCTGTCCCGAATACCATTTTTCGGGCTCCGGATATTCGGTAGATATCAGCAGCGAATATTCGACCCGCGCAGGGGGGGGGGTGGTAATCAGCAGCGAACCGCTTCAACACGTGTATTTCGGTTTATAGAGTGGCGAAGTCACGCCCATCTACTTCCGACCCATGGGACCTTATTTCTGAAAAATTATGTATTGAAGTCAATGGAGAGAGAAAACTTATCTTTCGATCCCGTTTGAATTGTGCCAAGAATTACACATATGATGTTTGTCGATCTTAAAAAATCATTTCCATGTCAAAAAAGTCTCAGTTTGTCGTAAAACTGTTGAAATATAAGACTATGAAAAATACCCAACTAGAAAGACTACAAATCCCAGAGTCGCGTACATTAACGCTACACATTACACTCGTGTTACTCACTGAAACCTTGTATAGCCGGTCCCGCATGCTGGCTCTTACGGAACCGACTAACTCCCCTTTTGTGTATATACAGCTCTCAACATGGCCAGACTTGTAGTGATTTTCACCTCTTTTAATACTTTTCACTTCATTCTGAAAGAAAGAGGTGAAATGTGCTAACGTGACGGCCATCTTGGTGTTGGTGACGTATGCAAGACCAGAGTTGTAGTTCATTGAGCGCTTCACACAAAAAAAGTGTTACTTCACAGTTTTACGACACATTTTTTTTTTTTTGACTTGCAAAATTATATTTTAACATCATATGTGTAATTCGTGGCACAATTCAAACGGGATCAAAAGATAATCTTTCTCTCTCCATTGACTTCAATACATGATTTTTCCAAAATAAGGTCCCATGGAAGTCCA